GGGGGTCTGGGTGCACCCCCAACCCCCTGACTACCTTTCTGTCTCCCTGTTAGGAACGAGGACCGGGAGCGAGCGTGGAGGGCGTCCCGGGAGACCAAACTGGAGACCATCCCAAACTGTGAAGCGTGGTGAGTGCGGGGCAGTGCCGCGGGGACGGGTGCGGGGACCGGTGCAGCATGGCACAGCACAGCACCCACTGCCACCCTCCATGGCACCCAGCCCTGCATCCTGCCCGCTGGTGCACATACAGGGTCGGGGCACCAGGACTCGGGCGATCTCTGTGCTGCTTCCAGCGGCGTGTCCCCGGTTCCCACCAAGAAATGGGGAGCTCGGAGCCACGGGCTGCAGCCCGCTGCGATTCTGGCCCTTGGGCCCCTCGCAAAGGGAAACTGAGGCACACAAGGACCTCAGCAGCTTTCAGGCTGTGTCCCACGGGCAGAGCCTCATCCTGCGGGCACCCTGCTCTGGGGGATGGGTGCAACCCCCCCCTCACCCACAGCCCAGCCATGGGTACTCTGTGCAGTGCCTGGCACAGCAGGGTTAGGGGTCAGACGTGCTAATTAGCCACTGATAATGATTGCTCCTGCCCTGCTTTAGCAGGAAGTGAGTATTTATTTGCTGGGGAGCAGCCTCCCTTCCTCCCCCAGCTGTGAGGGATGATGGACCCACTCGGTCTCTCCTCAGCTGGGGTGGCTCAGAGCTGCTGCTCTGCAAGGGAAGGGATTTTGTTCCCTTTTGGATTTGTGCAATGCCAGCACCAAAATACATCTCAGCTTGGGAAATGCAGCTGATGGCAAGCGCACGCTCCAACCCAGCTGAGCAGAGCTGGGACAGACCCCATAAGCAACCTCCAAAAGCCTCTGTGATAACCGGAGCCTGAGCAGGAACAGCCTCGGCGTGAGCACGGGGATGTGTTTGGACACAGTCCCTCCGGGACGGGACTGGGGATGAGGACGGCCGAGCCACATGGGGAGGGGCACAGCGGGGAGCCCGCAGCCCTGCCCGGCTGGCCGTAACGTTGTCCCCTTGCCTCCCCTGCCGGGACCCGGCAGCACCAAACCCACGCCGGAGGAGGTGCGGGGCTGGGCACAGTCCTTCGACAAGCTGATGAAGAGCCCGGCGGGTCGCAATGTCTTCCGGGAGTTCTTGCGGACTGAGTACAGCGAGGAGAACATGCTCTTCTGGCTAGCGTGCGAGGAGCTCAAAAACGAGTGCAACAAGCATACCATCGACGAGAAGGCCAGGATGATCTACGAGGACTACATCTCCATCCTCTCGCCCAAAGAGGTACGGGGCAGAGCCCCTGGGCTTGGCTGAGGCTGAACTGGGGCTGGGGGGGTTGTCCCTCAGGGAGAGGGCCGTGTCCCAGCTCCGCTGCAGTCCTACGGCAGGTTGGGGATGGGGCGGGTGGTTGGGGATGGGTTTGGCAGCGTAACGGGTTTGCTTCATGCGTGTGCACGGCAGTGGGGAGGGCGTTCCTGGCCCCCCAAGACCC